ATCTAAATCCTTTATCCATTTTGACCTTATCTTGCTATATAAAATAAGATGCTGGCCCATGCTTACTTTCCAGTTTTCCCAGCAATTTTTGTCAAAGGCTGAGTTCTTACCCCCAAAACTTGGATCTTTGGGTTTATTAAACACTAAATTACTATGGTCCTTTCCTACTGTTTTTTTGTGTACCTAATCTATACCCTGATCCAGCACTCTATATCTTAGCCAGATATTTTTCATGATTACCATTTTGTAAAAATAGTTTCAAATCTGGAACTGCTAGGCTGTTGTCCATATTTTTCCCATTGATTCTCTTCTTATTCTTGACCTTTTGTTTTTCTAGATGAATATTGTTATTCTTTTTTCTGGTTCTGTAAAATGATTCTTTGGTACTTTGGTACGGCACTGAATAAGTAGATTAACTTAGGTAGAATTGTAATTTATATTATATTACTTGACTTATCCATGAGCAATTAATATTTTTCAATTGTTTAAATCTGCCTTTATTTGTGTGAAAAGTGCTGCATAATTTAATTGTCTTCATATAATCCTTGGTTTATCTTGGCAGATTGACTCTCAGTTTTTTTGTATTGTATGCAGTTATTTTATATGGGATTTATTTTTCAATCTCTTGCTGCTAGGTTTTGTTGGTAGTGTATAGAAATGCTGATGACTTATATGGGTTTATTTTATATCCTACAACTTTGCTGGAGTTGTTAATTGTTTCAACTAGTTTTTTAGTTGATTCTCTAGGATTTTGTAAGTACACCATCATCATCTGCAAAGAGTGATGATTTTGTTTCTTCATTGCCTATTTTTACTTCAACTTCTTTTTGATATCTAATTGCTATAGCTAGCATTTCTAATACAATATTGAATAATGAGAGTAATAATAGACATCCTTGCTTCACCACTGATCTTATTGGGAAGCTTCAAGTTTATTCCCATTAAAGATAATGTTTGCTCTTAGTTTTAGATAAATATTACTTATCACTTTAAGAAAGGCTCCATTGAGTCCTATGATTTCTAGTGTTTTTAATAGGAATGGGTATTGTATTTTGTCAAAGGCCTTTTCTGCATCTATTGATAGAGTCATATGATTTTTGTTGTTTTTGTTATTGATGTGGTCAATTACACTGATAGTTTTCCTAATATTGAACCAGCTCTGCATTCCTGGTATTAATCCACCTGGTCATACTATATGATCTTTGTGATATATTGCTGGAATCTCCTTGCTAGTATTTTATTTAAATTTTTTGCATCAATATTCATTAAGGACATTGATCTGTAGTTTTCTTTCTCTGTCTTTGCTCTCACTAGAATAGGTATCAAAATCATATTTGTGTCATAAAAGGAATTTGGTAGGACTCCTTTACCTATTTTTTTTTGTCAAATAGTTTATATTGGGATTACTTGTTCTTAAAATATTTGGTAGAATTTACTTGGGGAAGCTAGGCATAGTGAATAGAGCACCTTGACTAGAGTCAGGAAGACTCTCTTCCTAAGTTTAAATCTGGCCTCAGACACTTTCTATCTGTGGGACCTTAATGCAAACAGAGTTAAAATCATAAGTAGTATCTATCTAAAACCAAGGACAAGCATTGTCTGTAACAAGGATAAACTAGAAGCCTTCCCAATAAAATCAAGGGTGAAGCAAGGATGCCCATTATCACCTGTTTCATTCCATCTTATTTTCTACTGCTTTATCCTTCTCTCTCTCTTTTTACCCTGTCTCTCCTCTAAGGTCTGTTTTGCTTCTGATCACTCTCTTCTTTTATCTGCACTCCCTTTTATCATCCCTTCTTTCCCTTATCCCTTTCCCATCCTATTTCCTTGTCAGGTAGAATAGATTTTTATTACCAATCCATATTTTTTGAGACTTTCTTTGTGGCTGTTTCGATTTCATTATCCTCTTCTGAGTTTGTGTCTTGATTTTCCCTATCACTGTAGTAGCTTTTTATGATTAGGGCTTCTTTGTGTTGTTTGCTCATTTTTCTACCCTACTCATGATTTTGAACTTTATGTTAAAGTTGAGCTCTATTCCTCGCATGAGAAGGGATCACTGTCCCAAACTTAAGGCTTTTTCACATTGCTGTTTTCAAACTAGTTCTGGGGGTTTGGAAGTTTTTGGTGCTTCCAAGGTGGTCTGATCTGGGGAGAAGTGTGGTCACTGTTCTCCTGGTCTGCACCCTGCTCCTTATCCAGGAAGGGTCCCTGATCCCTATGACTGCAATCAATACTGCTCCTCAGGGCCCCTGCTCCTTTGGAACCAGAAGTAATACTGTTCCTTAGAGTCCCAGATCCCTTGTGACCAAAAGTGATACTGGCCCTCAGAGCTTCCACTTCCTCTTGACCAAAAGTGCTCCTTTCTGCCCTTGAACTATGACCCAGAAGTGGGTATAAGCAACAGAGTTGCCAAACAGCATTTTGTACTGCATCCAGTGCTAGGAAAGGGCTCTCCTGACCATTTGCCAGGTCTCTTTCTGACCATTTGCCAGATCCTCTTACCATCTCTGGCTTGAGAGCTCCTAAAGCTACTGCTGCTTCCATCAGTCTTATGAAGTAGATGGAGCAAATGCTCAAACATTCAAAAGGATATGTAATTTCATTAACTTACATATTCCCTTCAGTGATGCAGGTTGCAACCCATCCATGTCTACACATCACATGCAGCTCTTCTCCATATCTTCTCTTAAATCCACTACCCAACGTATTAGAGTCCATCCTCACTTTCTCCTGATTATACTTGTATCCCGTCAGGATACAATTAAAGGACTCAGGATATCCATCCTTTGTCCTTCACCCTTACTACATAACCAGCCCATCGTCTCTTCTAATCATACATTTGTTAAATCACATCTTTTATTCATTTTCTTCCTCAAAGTTTCTCATTGATTATATAATGCAATTAGCTCACAACTGCCTGTATGCCTCTCCATTGTCCTCTATGTGATAATCATTTTCAATATTCAGAGATTGTTGTGTTCCATGACTTATAGCTATATGGAAATACTGATAGAATGTTAATATCTAAAAGATGATCCTTTGTTTGTAGAGGTATCTCAGAATTTTGTAGTTTCTTCAACGTAATCCCTGCTTTCCTCATACTGTTTTGTTCTGGCCCAACTCATTGCCTATTTGTATGGACTTTCCTAGATATATTGTACATACTGCTGGTCAGGCTCTAGAGGTTTTCCATCAAAATACATGTCATCATCTAGGCAGCAGATCCACTTGGTCCTTCCTGTGTGGATTGCCAATGGTCAGACCAACTTCTTACGAGTGCTTTTGAGTGCTTACCTCTCTTCCAGAAAGCTCTGCAATATTCTGGAACTGGTAGGATCATCTGAAGGACCTCACTATGCACAGAGAATCCCTCTTTAGGTTTGAATCTGTGCTGGACTTCTTACATCACGGTGGCAAATAACTTTGGCAAGCACACATCTCTCTGGTTTATTATGCCTTTTCTAATTTATGACCAGAGGGTCATTGAACTGGGTTATTTCTATTGTTTTATCTTACAAGGAATCAAGAATGATTTTGATGTACAGATAGGACACACTTCATTAGAAGAAAGACTTTATGTGAGCATTCAGTTCTACAAACCAAATGCATTTTCCTAATCAACAAATAATAAGCATGAGGGATATGAATCAGCAGTATGATGTGGCAGCCAAAAAAACTAATGTGATCTTGGTCTGCATTAAGAGGAGCGTAGCTTTCAGAAATAGGGAGGTGATAGTTACATTGTACACTTCCCTTGTCAGACCTCATCTGGATTATTTTGTTCAGTTCTGAGTGCCACAGTCAACAGTGTCAAACATTGTAGACAGGTCAAGGGGGATAATGATTGAGAAAAGATCATCAGATTTGGTTGTTAATAGATCACTGGTAATCTTGGAGAGGTTTTAGTTTCAGTTAAACAATGATGTTGGAAGTCAGTTTGCAAGGGATCAAAAAGTGAATGTGAAATGAAAAAAAAAAGACAGAGGCAAAGAATATAGATAGTTTTTTCTAAAAGTTTGGCTGTGAATAAGAAGAAAGACATAGGACAGTAGCTTGAGGTGATAGAAGGGTTTAGTGAAGTTTTCTCTTAAAAATGAGAGAACTAGGTGTGTTTATAAGTAGTATGGAAGAAACAAAAGAATAAGGTAAGATAGAAAAGTTGGGGAGAAAAGAGAATTTGCCACAGATAGACTCTTTTTTTAAGTCCCCTAGTGAGATAGAAGGACAAGATGTGGCAAAAGCAACTTGAGGAGAGAAAAAAAATTATCAAATTATGATAATGGATTAAAAATATACTTGCTTTCTCCCTTGCTGCTGGTCTCCACCCCCCCTTACTCCCACCAAATGCCCAGTGGTAGAAGTATAATGGAATCCTCTGCCACTTAATTTTTACAACCACAGAATTGTAGGAAAGTGCCAGAGAAAATTCCTATTACTTGCATTCAGTGCCACCTACACACTCTTCCACAGCCCCCCAAGTTTCTCTCAGTTCTAATTTAAAGTTGATATCTTTCCTGGCCTCTTCAACCGACTTTCTAGGTCTATAATTTTAGTAGTCATGTGCCAATCACATTAGCAAAGCTCCTTTTTGGTAAGCCCCCCCCACTAAATATTAACCCTAAGTCCTGACAATGCTTATAAATAAATGTTACATATGCAGTTATAGGCAGATACAATTACCAGTTACCATAAGAGAAATATCATTACTCAACAAGGAAGATAAACTTGATGATCATAAAAGCTAGCATTTATATAGTGCTTTAAGATTTGCAAAATACTCGTTTGATTCTCACAACAACCCTGCAAGGTAGAGGTTATTATCCTCATTTTACAGATGAAGAAAGTGAGGCTGATGGTTTTAGTGACTTGCCCAGAGTCACACATCTAGGAAGTGCAAGAAAACATTTGAACTCAGATCTTTCTCACTCCAAGCCCAGTGCTTTATCCACTACATCCACTATGTGTAATTACTTAACTTTGCTTCCTTTTGTTGACATTAGGTACAAAAATCCTGTTTTTACCCTGCTACCTGTCGAGACAAGTCTGTGTGACTATGAGGTTGAGGTTGGCTAAACTGCTCCTTCAGCCACTGTGGAGATCCCAAGCCTTCTGCAGACCTCTCCGCTGTGTGAGCACAGGGCTGCCCAGCCTTCAGAAGACCTTCACCAACTTTGAAGACATTCACCTAGGAAAACAGCCGATACCAGAGTATTTTAATTTTGCCAGTGATGTGCTAGACATGTGGAGTCAGATGGAAAAGGTGAAGTTGGGGGATTTTGACAGACATCACCCTAACAGTGTTTGCCATAGACTCTGAGCCCTGAGGCAGAGGAAAGACAATAGGCCACTGTGCTGAGAAGATTGTTTTCTTTTGCCACCTTGAGCTGTTCAGAGATAATAGGGGCCAGAAAAACAAGTTGTCCTTGATCTTCAAGGCATTAAAATCATAGATCCTACTTAGACAGTGTTCAAGGTTTGTGCACTGGCAATGTCAATTTGCCCTTCAGACAAGACTCATCAGAGAACACTGGCCCTTTCTTCTCTGACAATGAGGTTCAATGGTATGATAAAGAGAATTTCAGGCAAGGGCAGTTTTCTTAAGCAGTGGAATAACTGCCAGTTTTCGTCATTGCTGAATCTTCTAACTCTTGTGGGAGGGGCGAATATGTATGACACATCACTTCCAAAGGACCTAAACCCATTCCTGGCCTTGGGTCCTCTCTCTCCTCCCTTCAGTTATATGCATCTTCTCTCTTCTTCACAATGACCATGCCCTTCCTTCTTCCAGCTCCTTTGAAGGCATTATTTGGAGCCCATAAATCATAGATTCAGAGCTAGAAGGGTCCTTAGAGGCTTGTTGGTCCAACCCCTTCATTTTATAGAAGAGGAACATAAGGCCCAAGCAGGCTAAGTAATTTGCCCGCAGTCACATTGGCAGTTAGCAATGGAGCCAGAATTCAAACCCAAGACTTCCAACCCAAATCAACAGTCTTTTCACTGTAATACAACACCTCTTAGAATCATAAACACCTACCCATATATTCTGTCCATCATACTATATGCTGTTGTGGGGAATGAAAATAAAATTAATAGGATCAAGTCATCAAGAATGTATTGAACATCTACTATGTGCCAGGCATAGTGGTAAGTACTAGGGAAACAAAAGCAAAGAACAGCCCCTGCCCTCAAAAAGATCATAACCCAAAGGGGAAGACAACATTCAAACAACTATATATAGACTATAGGCAAGATAAATTGGCAATAATTAACAGAGAGAAGGCACTGGAATCAAAGGGAATTGGGAAAGGCTTCCGCAGAAGGTGAGATGTTAGCTGGAAGGAACCAGGGAAGCCAGATAGATACAAAGAAGAAGAGAATCCCAGGCATTGGGGACCACCAGTGAAAATGTTTGGATTCAGGAGATGGAGAGCCTTGTTAGAACAACAAGGAGGAAAAAAAACTGGTCTCAGACATATGATACTTACTAGCTGTGTGACCCTGGGCAAGTCACTTAACCCTGATTGCCTCACTAAAAAGCAAAAGAAAAAAAAAGAGCTAGCCAGATCACTCATTATGGGGGAAGGAGGAGAGGAAATTAAAGTGAAAGAAGGCTGGAAAGATGTGGGGGGAAGAGGGCTTTGAATGCTAAACAGGATTTTATATTTTATTCTGGAGGCAATAAGGAGTCACTAGAGTTCATTGGATTAGGGAGTGACATGATCACATCTGTGCTTTAGGAAGATCAGTCTGATAGCTGATGAGTAAGAGACTAAAAGTCTGATTAATTTTATTTACTTAACGTTGAGTTGGGTGGGAAAGGGAAAGGAAGAGGGTTAATTTCTCCCCCTCGCCCAATTTTGGTTTATATATTTAAGGGACCAGAGGAAGACAGCTCTTTGTACTCCAACAAGTCATAGAATTCCTTGCTGATGTCATAGTTGGTCCTTAGGATGTGGTCAGTTTCCCATGTAGTCCACTTACCTGCTGGTAGGAAGAGGAGGAAAGCCCACAGAATGCCCAATAATAGGTTACTGGACACAAAAGAGATAAAACTTAGGCAGAAGCATCATGACCATCCAAGCAACTCCTATAGTGTCTGGGCCCCATGGAGCAACTCCTCAAACCTGTGGTGCATTATGAGGGCATTTCTAAGGGTTATGTGCCTAGATGCTAGATGCTAGATGCCCACCCCCTTGGTAAAGTTTTATTTAGGGCTCCCAACTAAAACCTGAAACCACAACATAGAAGGTAACCTTTGGCTAATAGATGCTGGTATCTTTTCATCCCTTGTCATTGCCCAGGCTGGAAAAAGGTCCCCAAATCCTGCTTTCTGGTGGGTCGATGGTCAGGGAGCTGAGATAAAATGGAGTTATGAAGAGCTGGGGATCCAATCCAGGAAGACAGCCAATGTTTTGTCCAGAGTATGCAACCTGCGGCCAGGGGATCGATTGTTGGTAATTCTCCCCAGGATCCCTGAATGGTGGTTGGTGACTGTGGCTTGTATGAGAACAGGTCAGTGGATGGTTCCCTTTGACTTGTGGCAGACTGGAGGACTAGTTAACTCGAAGTATTGCAAAAGGCAGGAAGTTAGGGGAGAAAAAGTAGAATGTGTTAGATCAGAGTGGGAGAAATAATTTGTTGCACTCACTCCCCTATCCTGAGCAATTACTGAGACTTTCTAGAGAATGAGGAAGTATATATACATATATAATATATGCACATAAATATATGTAGTACATATACAATATTGATATTGATAAATAGTAGAATAAAGTCTTACTGTGACACAGTGGGGTTTGAGGTTTCCCTGGGCTTCTCTTAGGAAGGTGGAGAAGCTGCTATTGGGATCATTACTCATACCAATATTCAACATGCTTCCATTAGTAATCCTCTTCTTTCCAATCTGATACGAACACACACACACACACACACACACACACACACACACACACATGCATATATACATATTAATTTTCTTGAAGTTGATGTTCTTTTCTTTTTTTCATTTCATTACCTCTTCCCAATGATTTCCCTTCCCCCAAAAGAACCTGTCCTTGTAACAATAAATAAGGTGAAGAAAAATAGATCAGCATATTGACCATGCAGTGGTGCCATGTTACTATAGACTTAGGAGAGTTCAGGAGTATCAGAAGTCTAGTGAAATGAAATAGAGAACTCACACCAAGGCAGTAAAGAAAGCTGACTTTATTGAATGGAGATATTAACAAAATGAAGGAGCAGTCAGAGAAGAGTTGGGGCAGCCTACTGGGGTCCTGGATGGAGTTAGGTACCTTAGTAGGGCTCTAGATCAAGTGGAGAACCGTCACTACAGATCAGTAAAACCTGGTAGATTATTATAGGGTTCTTATCTGGGTCTAGCAGGACCAGTTATTATGGAGAGAGAATGAGGAGCCTGGACCTGGGGATTAGCATTGATTCATGTGGGATGGGGGTACAGGTGCACAGAGAGAAGATTCCTGGTCAATTGGAGGCTAGTTAATCCTCAAACTTTTCACAGTTTGAAAAGGACTTTGGGCCATTACTACTCATTTTTCTCTCACTCAGAAGGTTTTGAGCCTCCCCTGGGTTTCTTCTTTTAGGAAGGTGGGGAGGCTATTACTGGGGTCATCACCCAAACCAATATTTAATAGGCTTCTCAGTAGTAATCAATTCCCTTCTCCCAATATGACCTTTGATCCAGATCCCTCCTCATTCCCCTACTGTAGTCCACAGCTTCCTAGGCACTAAAAGTACTTCAGACAGCCATGTACATTGATTGTCAACAAGTCATAAGATTCAGCCCTTACCTGTTAACTTAAAGAACTTGGTATGTCTCTGTGTGCTTTTCTAAGTGAATATATATGCCTTATTTCAGTAAGTCCTCACAATGTCATTCATGTGGATAGGATGGGCATTCTTACTCCCATTTGCTGATAAAGAAACAGGGGCTTGGAGAGGCAATATGATTTGCCCAAACTCACATAGCAGGCAAATAGAAGAGCCTGTGTTAGGTTTCTTGACTTCATTTCCAGTGTTCATAACAAAATGAAGAAACTAGACAATAAGAAATGGAATGAATAATCACACTATTCAATCAAAAAAATTCCACTATAAAAAATTATAGTGGAAAAGTGGGATTGCAGGAGTTCTATCCCTGGCCCTGCCATGAAATTGCTGTTTGCCTTGAACAAGTAATTTAACCTATCTGGGCTTTAGTTCCTGCACATGTAAAAGGGAGGAACTGGACTAGATGAGGTCTGAGGTCTGTTTCATCTTCAACATTAAATGAATAATCATAAGTTCAAGTAAAGTAGATATAAAGACATAAGAAAGGATAAGATAAAATAAGATAGTCCAGATTTATGGGTGAGAATAAATAGATCAATAGGTAGACAAGATAAAATGATAGAGAAATGTAAAGATAAAAGGAAATAAAAAAGGAAGGAAGGAAGGAAGGAAGGAAGGAAGGAAGGAAGGAAGCAAGCATTTATTAAGTGGCTACTATATGTCAAGCACTGTGCTAAGTGTTCAACAAATATCTCATTTGATCCGTCATAAAAATTTCTGGCTTAACTTTTTTTTTACTGCCATTTACTTAAAATGAACAAGTCATAACTAGATAAGAGTCTGCAAAACCAAACTGAGACATCAGTTACAGCCCTGGTGTTAACCAATTAGTTCCTGATCTACATGTCTACAAGTTCAAGTGTGAGATATCTGCTACAGCTCCAGTGTTAACCAGCTAAATTTCCTATTTTACCTGCTATAGATCTTCTATTTCTAACATCTGTCCTTTGGTCTGTAAATCACTATCTTGTCTTATTTTGCTCTTTGAAATTCCAATGCACCCATCCTGCTTATCCCATATGAGATTGCTGCAAGTTATGATCTAAATTCACTGATTTTTGTTTAGCGATGGATGCCTATGCTCTAAGTGTGATAAACTGCAGTTTTTCCTCATCTCTGCATCAGATTGATTGACAGTAGTACTTACCAAGGTATCCTCAAATAATTTTTGCCACAATCCTCATAAAAACTATTTTAGGTAGGTGCTATTATTATCCCCACTTTTACAGTTCAGGGAACTAAAATAGACTGAGGTTAAGTGACTTTCCCAGGGTCACATAGCTAGTAAATGTCTGAGGTTGGATTTGAATTCAGATTTTCCTGACTCTAAGCACCGTGGGTGGATGAAGGATGGATAGATAGACGAGCAAGAGACAGATGATTGATAGATAGATAGATAGACAGAGACAGAAAGACAGACAGACAGATATATGTCTGCGTTTGCTATCTCTATTCTCTCCCAATGTAGAGTTTTCCTCCTTTAATTCAGGAATTAAAAAAGTATGATTCCAATGGCTCCAGTTCTTTAAACAGTGACCTAAAATTATTTTATATGACCTGCAACCATTTATCTGGCTTGATTTTTGATTGATGATCAATTGATTTCAACAGCCATACCTTGTACTTTATAAGTAGGAGTTTCTACTAACATAGAACTGGCTAACATTTAATGATATATTGGTTCATCTGAGTTGGCAGTTTAAATTAATCATTCCACACATACTAAGTGGTTGCTTTTGTGTGTGCCACATGAAGTATACAACATAAATATATTTTAAACCCAAAGGACACTGAAATCTCTCACAGTGTTCTAGAAAAATTCTCTTGACATAGATCTCACCCAATGGCCAAAATTACCATTCCATCTCCAGAGCAGATAGTCAAACAAGTAACTTGATCACTTTCTCAACAATGATGTGATTTGGGAGGAGAAGAAAAGTTTCAAGATGGGGACAGAAAAAAATTGGTTTATGGTAGATTACACTTTCAGAGATGAATGAGACAGAGCACTCTGCAGCCAGAGTCTCTGAAGGCTTGAACAAAGTAGCTAAAGTGGATCAACCCCTTAATTTTCAACAAATCCAATATCTGTACAAGGAGGATTAAGTTATACTGCTCATATTTTGCAGAACAGGAAATCGACAGAGCCTAGACTAGTGTTAAGTTAGATCTGACTTCTCATCCACTGCTTAAGAAGGAACCTTGAGGCCAATTGTCTTTGTTTTTGACAAAGTTACTAACACTTCTATGGATATTCTGGCCAAATCTTCAAGAGGTTTACTATTTCCCTGGGCAAGGAGGATAAGAAGGGCAAATTTTTTTGCAGAATAAAGTGGGGGTGGGGGTGGGGAGGGAGGGTGGGAATCACATATTTCTTCCTCCACAAGAAAGAAGAAATATTTACATGACATGGATGTTTCATACATACGTGCGTTAAATCCTTGCCTAATTCAAAGAATGGCAAAGACTTAGATTCTCAAAGGAGACATATGTTTGAAGTGAAAGTTTCTGTATGCATTGTCAAAAGAGATACAAGGAGCAGTATATTACTAAAAGTCAATCATGATTTCAGTTTGGCATTCTTATGGACAAAATTAAAGGGAAAATAACTCTTATAATCCCTCTGAAGTCATAAAGTAAACCAGTAACCACCTTTGGGTAAACATCTTATCTTGTACACACACTCACTATCTTGGGTTGTGGTCATCAGAGTCATTGTTTCTGGGAATTTCTAGGGATTTCTAGGGGAATTTCTAGGGATTTCTAGGGAAATTTCTAGGGAATTTCTAGGAATTTTCTAGGAAATTTTAGGAAAAGTCTATGAATTTCTGGAAATTCCTAGTCATTCCATTGCTGAACCATATTGTCATGGGAGTTTTTCATCCTAGATTCCATGAGAGTCTAAAGAGGATCTCACCCACCATGAAGTCTGCAGGACTTAAAGGAAGTAGCCAGACTGAAAGTAAAACAAATTTGTTAGTGTGTTAAGGAAGACCACTTAGACTATCAGCGGCTTCAGCTAGAAGTATGGATTGAGTTTTTATAGCTTTTTACCTTTGCTTAGAGTATATAGACAATCTGCAGCATTCTGCAACAGATTGGAAATAGGGAATATGTGTTTATGTTGGGGTCTCAGAAATTGCTAAAATCTAGTTTGTTCCAGTGTAATAATATTTTCTCTGTAGTTAATCTTATCAGAATAATATATTATTCTGCACTGGCAGGAAATCTCTAAGACAGTGGAGCCTCCTTCAAGATAGGATCAGTCATGTTCATCCTGTTGCTGACAGTAAGGAGAATAAATACAACCTTAGGATCTCTGTGCAAACTTGTAGCTCAGTTTCCTTGGTTCCTTTTCTGTGGGAGTAGATGTTCCTCCCAAACTCACAGTTTATCTATATCCTCCATAATAGTTCTAGTTCCTAGAAATCTGGGACTTTCTTAGATTCCATTGTGATCACATCTGATCTGGGCACAGATCCTAATTTAGGACCAATACAGTTTGCAAAGACTTTGACAGCCCAGCATGAGTTCTTGCAAGTGCTATCAAAACAGAAAAGTTTCAAGTACAACAGGCCTGGGTATAGATGTCCTCCAAAAACCAGCCTTACTAAACAAACAAACAAACAAACCAAACCAAAACAAAACGTCTAACTTAGTTCAGAGAATTCCCTGGGCGCTTAACTTATTTATTCATTTATTTGTTTGTTGGTTGGTTGGTTGGTTTATTTATTTATTTGTTTTAGCTATAATAGCTCCTAAGGACCATGTATAAAGTAGAAGGTATAGCTGGGTTGAAATCAATTGATCCATCAATCAAAAAGCATTTATTAAGCATCTGTTATGTGCCAGGCACTGTGCTAGTCATTTTGTTTCCAAAGACAAAAGTGAAACAAGCCTAATCCATGAGGAGTTTACAGTCTAGCTGGTGGAGATGATAGATAGATAGATAGGAAGGTAGAGTATATATATATATTATATATATATACACACACACACATATGAGTATGTGCATAAATAGGTATGTGTGCATGTATATGTGTAGATATGTCTGTGTATGTCTACATATGCATGTATATGTATGTGTGTATACCCACATATTTATACGTGTATATACACATGTATATACATATGTATGTATATGAATATATGTATCCAGGAATAAAAAATATTATTGCAAAGACCGTGTGTGTGTGTGTAGTAGTAGTAGTAGTAGTAGTAGTAGTAGTAGTGAGCAGCTAGGTGGTATAATAGGTAGAGTCAGGAAGACTCCTCTTCCTGAGTTCAAATCCAGCATTTACTAGCTATGTGACCCTGGGGAAATAATTTAATCTTGTTTTCCTCAGTTTTTCATCTGTAAAATGAGCTGGAGGGGTAAATGGCAAATTGTTCCAGTATCTTTGCCAAGAAAACCCCAAATGAGGTCACAAAGAAATGAGAACAACTGAACAACAACAATATAATGTGTGTATAGTACACATATATGTGTGCGTATACATATATATGTATATATATGCATACATATATATACGTATATAATGTATACACACACATACATACACATATGTGTGTATAGAAAGACTATGTCCCAAAGTTACCCTGCGCCACCTTCTATATAAATTCTTTCCTGTTCCTCCCAAGGAACAGCACCATTGGAAATGGAATGGCACTAACACCTAGGGAGATCAAGTAAACATTTATATAGAAAGTGGCACTTGCTCTGAGCCTTGAAGGAAATGAGTGAATCTGAGGCAGAAGTCAGGAGAGACTGCATTTCAGCCAGCGCAAATACACAGGCATGAAAGATGGAGTCCTGTTTGTAATGAACAGTATACAGGCCAGTTTGGATGGAGAGTCAGACGTATCAAAACATTTTGTGTATCAAAAAGTGAGATGGATAGTAAGGCTGGAAAGAAAAGAGGAAATCAGGCTGTTAATGGTTTCAGATGTCAAAACAGAGGAGTTCGCTTTTTGTTCCTAGAATTCATAAGACACTGAAAGCTTATTGAATGACATGGCCAGACCTGTGCTTTGGCAGCTGTGTGGAGGGTGGATTAGAGCTAAGATTTGCATTAGTAAAATATGCACATTCATGAAATCTTGAATCTGTGTTTTAAGATTGGTACGAGAGTGATGCCAACTGACTCACCTACTCTGAACAAAGCCATTTTCTAGGAAAGGAGGAAGTGCTATTGGAAGGTTGCTGCTGTCATGGCACTGCTAGCACCCAACATTATTTGAAATAGGAAAATAAGAGTAATATTGTTGTTGTTGTTGAGTCCTGTCTGACTCTTCATGATCTTGTTTGGAGTTTTCTTGGCAGAGATACTAGAGTGGTTTGCTATTTCCTTCTCCAGCTCATTTTACAGATGAGGAATTGAGACAGAGTCAAGTGACTTGGCCAGGGTCACATAGCTAGTAAGTGTCTGAGGCCAGATTTGAACTCATGAAGTTGAGTCTTCCTGACTCCAGGTCTGGACCTCTATCTACTGTGCCATCTAGCTGCCCCAAGGATATAATAATAATTAACATTTATGTAGTAATTATTGTATGCCAGGCACTGTGCTATAAGCACCTTACAATTATTGTCCCATTTGATCCCCACATAAACGGGGGGGGGGTGGCGGGGAGGTGATATCTTTATCTCCATTTTATAAATGAGGTAACTGGGACAAGCAGAGGTTATGTAATTTGCCCAGGATCATATAGCTAGTAAGTATCTGAAACTGGATTCAGACTCAGACCTTTCTGACTTCCAGGCCAAGTACTCTATCCACCATGCTATCCAGCTGCCTCAAATGAAAATATAGCTCCTACTGAAGTTTGATCTCAAAGTGTTGATCTGGATTGGGAAAAAAAACCCAGAATGGCTTCCAAATATCTACTGGCATTTATGAACATAGGAATTAGAGCTAAAAAAGAATTTAGGGATGATTTAGTACAACTGTTTCATTTTATAGAAGAGGAAACTAGGTCTTAGAAAAAGAGAAGTAACTTGACCAGTATCACTCAATAAATTGCAGAATTGGGATTTAGGCTACTCTTCTGACTTCAAACCCAGTGCTGTCCAAACTACACCATGATGCTCATTTGTTTCACTGTGGAGTAAAATGATTAATTCTCTAAATTATCATTGTCTTCTTCCTTTTTTTCAGGGGTTGTCATGATCCCTGGAATCTCTCAGCTAACTGTAAAGGATATCCAGTACCGACTGCAGGTATCTGGTGCCAAAGCCATCATTACCAATGACTCCTTAGCACCTCAGGTGGACACCATTAGTGCTGACTGTCCTTCCCTCCGGACAAAAGTGCTCGTCTCTGGCAGTAGCCGGCCTGGTTGGCTGAACTTCAGAGAACTATGCCAGTGAGTTGTGATTCTTTTGGGACAGTAATCCGACCTCCTAATGAGAACATAATGAAGAAGGAAGGAAGGAAGGAAACGGGGAGGGGAAGGAGAGGGAAAGGAAGGGAAGGAGAAGGGGAAGGGAAAGGAAAAGGGAAAGGAGAAAAGACGGCCAAGCTAGGGACTCTCTCACATATCTTAGAATGTTAAAACCAGGAAGGACCTTGGAAACCATCTTGTTCAGCCACCTTTCCCCAAACTCTCCCCTCACCACATCCATCTGCATTTTAGATACAAAACTAGAGAGTAGAAATTCTGCTTGGACTAGAAGACTTGTCCAAGGCCACTGGACTAGTTCTCAGCAGAACTTATTCCTTCAACGAAAATGGCTATTTAAGCTTGCTAAAACTGAGAAGGCTGTCATATGAATGGGCATAACTGTTGAGGTCAGATGAGAGCAGTTCAAGTGTGCAAGAATTCACTTAGACATTCTCTTTTAGCCATCTGGAACTTTATTAATGTGAAAAGCACACAGACTTTTACTGTAGCAATGGGGCTGAGTAAAAGGTATTGGTGGTGGGGAGCTAAGCTTATATAGAGATGTTCAGAATGACGATGTAGTTTTAGGGTTTTATGGTGGTTAAAGATAAGTACAGGATAAGGAAGATGGGGGAAATTTTATGAGAGGATGAGGGAGACAAGGAATTTTATGGTCCAGGATAAGGGGAAGTTACATCATATTTCAAGATAAGGGAAAAAGGATTTTAGGATGTTCTCAAGTTACATAATGAACTACAGAATGAGCTCAGGAGGGGCCTAACAAAGTACTAGAAAAGCAATCTTCATATTCTCTTTAACCTGTAGGGTACCATTTATATCCACATCATAACCAACAATTCAATTTAATTCAATACTCATTTGTCAAGTGCCAATTATGTGCCAGACACTGAGGATTCAGAGACCAAAAAAAAGTGGCCCTGCCCTCACGGAGCTTATATTCTACTGGAGGAAAAGTCTTTTGGAGGATATGCCCTTGCGCTTTGCCTTGAAAGGAGCCAGGTGTTCTAAGAGGCAGAGGTGAAAAGGGAGAGTATCCCATGCTTGGCAGACAGTCTACGCATAGATCCAGAGATTGGTAATGTCATGTCTTGGATGAGGAACAGCAAGTATTATTTGGTAGGTGTGCTGAGAATGTGCAGGAGAATAATGTGTGATTGGCCTCAAAACTTAAAAAAACAAAACTGCCATCTGTCAAGTATAAAAAACTCAGACCAACTGAGTCAGTAAATAATACTGAGGCATTTTATTCAGGATGAAGGAATCGCAATTTGGGGCATCATCCCAGACAAAGAAGCCCAGAGAGGAGAATTACAACAAAGAGTTAGGTGCACTCAGGAGGGGCAACTATGTAGGTAGATAGGACAGTGGGTAAAACCACAGGATTGGTTTTAGCTAGCCAGCAGAGGCAAAGGCACAAGGCCAAGGTTACCTAGAGGGTCAGCAGAACAGCTTTCTGGAGGAAGGGAGTGGCAATAAGAGGTTAAAAGAACGAAATTGCAGCCTTGGAAATGTCTCTGTCCAGGAGAAAGGGCAGTTAGAAACTACAGGTCAGAACTGGTTGACACATCCAACAATGGTGTTCCCTAGCCCTTTCTATAATTAATCCTTTTAAAATTATAATTACCTCTGATTGGAGAGATATCAGGAGCCTAAAAAAATAGAAAGTAAGCTCCCTGAAGGCACAGACTATTTCTTGTTTCTGGTTGTTGGCTTTCTGTCTCTCCTGACTAGCATGGTGCTTTGCATACTATTGTATTTGTATATTGTATATATAATAGTAATATATAATAATATATAACATTATATATGATATACAATATATTAATATATAATAACAAATATACTGTATATACATAAATATATTGTATTTGCATACTATTGGCACTTAGATATTTTAATTGAATTGATACACTGTTGCAGTGCTAGAGGTCTTGTTATCAAATTTCTATTAAATGCTGTACTTGGAGATAGGAGAGTGAAGAGAGAGGAGAGGAATTTGTTTTAGGCCCTGTTTTTCGTTTTTGTTTGTTTTTAATTTTAAAGTCAGGAGGACCTGAGTTCAAATCCGACCTCAGGCACATAGCACTTACTAGCTGTGTGACTCCGGGCAAGTCATTAACCTCAACTGCCTCATAAAAAAACCAAACAAACAATTTTTTAGAGGCCTTTTGTTTTTACAACACAGTTAATTCATATTACACCTCTCAACCACTGAACCCTCTCTGGTAACAAAGAAAAAAGTTAAAACAAAATGAACCAACAGTATCTATTGTCTGATAGCACATACAACATTCCACACCTATAGTCCACCTCTCTACTGAGAGAAGGAAGTTATAATTTCCTCATCTGTTCTCTGAAATCAAGACTGGTCATTAGAATTAGTCAGGCTTTAGTCGCTTTTAGCATTATTTTCATTTGCATTATTGTAGCCATTGCATATTTTGTTCTCCTAGTTGTATTTGCTTTATTCTGTTATAGTAATGAGAAGATTTTCCATGTTTTTCTAAATTCCATATATTAAATCACATTTGTATCGTAGTATTTCATAAGATTCATATACCATATGATAACTGAGACAAAATGGGACTAAATGAGATATTTACAAACCTAAACCACTATACAATGCTATTATTAATTAGTCCAATAATTTCCTAATTTGTGGGCACCCTCTTTATTTCTAGTCTTTTGTTACTGCAAAAAGTGTTCATATACATATATATGGAAAGAGAGAGATACAGAGAGAGAGAGAGAGAGAGAGAGAGAGAGAGAGAGAGAGAGAGAGAGAGAGAGAGAGAGAGAAGGGGGGGAGAGGGAGAGAGAGAGAGCCTTTCTGTCTCTCTTTGACTCCTTTGTGACATATACCCAATAGGTCAAAGGATATGAACACTTTGGTAATTTTCTCTCCCAAAACCAACAATCCCCCCCCCATGATTGGATCAATTTACACTTCCATCTATAGTAAATAGTGTGTCTAAGGTTTGCTCTAAATTATTAATAATAAAAAATGCAAATAAAAAACCTTAAGGTTTTATATCACACCCAGAAAATTGGCAAAGATTAAAAAAGATAGAAATCATATATGTTGGAGGGGCTAGGGAAAACAGTCATACAAGTACACTGTTGGTAGAGCTGAGAATTAGTTCAATCATGTTGCAAAAACAGTCTGGAATTATGCTTTTTTTTTAAAAAAAGGAGACTAAAATATAGCCACATTCTTTTACCCAAAGATCCAAAGGTGACTAGTAACGTGCAAGTCATATATCCCAATGAAGTTAAACAGAAATATATGCCTGAAAGTATTTTAATATGTATATTATACATAAGACATATTTTATATCATAAAATTTATATTTTATGGGGGAAATACATCCCATATATACCAAATATTCATAACACCGTTTTATGCGGTAGCAAAGGATTAGAACCAAAGTTTATGCCCGTACACTGGGAAATAACAAAACAATTGTATTGCAGATGTAAAAGAATATTGCTATGCCATAAGAAATGATAAATATGAAGAATTCAGAGAGGCATACAAAGACGTGTGAATTGATACAGAATAAAGTAAGCAGACCCCCCAAAAAAACAACATACACCATGATGACAAACCTTGGAAAGACTGAATATTGTACAATTATAATGACCAAGCTTGGCTCCAGAAAAGAGACAATCCCTGTCTCTTGCTTGCACAGGGTAGTGGACCCTGTAGTAGTTGTAGTTGTGGAGCATTATAACATATAATGTCAGACTTAATTGATGTAGTAGTTAGTTTGACTGAACTGCTTTTTCCCCCCTGTATTTATTCTTTGCTATAAGGGGTGAATTACAGGGAAGAGTATGGGCAAGGAATATATTTGAAAATGAAGATGATATGAAAACAAAACATGTCAATACAAACTAAAACTTTATGAAAGAAAAAAATTGGATGGAGCAGTGAACTCATATAAGAGAGTAGTGAAAAAGAAAGCTGGAGTGCTATGGGGCAGAGATTGTTAAGTGTTCCCTGAAGAATACTTAGTCTGTCTCTCCAAAGAGTCACCGCGTCTCCTCTGCAGCCTAAATAAAACTTGGAGATTGTTTCAATACTGAGAACTTATAAACTCATCCCACCTCAGGGGATAACTTAAAATATAAATCTTATTGCAAATTTTTAATTTTTAAGATACAGTTCAGCTTATTGTAGGTAGGTGATCAAAGATCTTCTACTGTTATCATAACTCTAGTCAAAGGGGAATGAAATTTCTATATATGGCCTGTTTGCACAAAAAGCTGGTGGGTGGAAACTTCTACCCAAAGGGAGGTCTTAATGTTGAACAGAAATCTGATCTAGCCTTAGGAATCAAAGTAATCTTTCAGGGAAAACATGGCTCTGTAGTAGGTTCATATTACAAAGCACCCAGAGCTCAAGTCCTCCAAGGTTTGTATAACAAATAGTTTTAAATTACCTGAGAGAAGAAGGGAGAGTTATGGTAATTTGCATGAATATGCGTGTTTGTTCTTTTTTTTAGCGTGGCACCTGAAGAACACAACTGTGTGAAGACTAGGAGTCGAGATCCACTGGTCATCTACTTCACCAGTGGCACCACAGGTTCACCCAAGATGCTGGAACATACCCAAGTCAGCTATGGATTGGGCTTTGCCACCTGTGCAAGGTATAGTGGGGGATGTATTGGCAGATGAACATCAGAGTAGCAATAACCCCAGTGATAGCTTAGTTGAAATCACCAGTTTTGTGCTAGGTCAACAATTCTGGGGGGTTGGGGGGGAGAGAAACACGGGATTGAAAGTGGAAAGAACTGAGTTTATATCCCATCTCTGATACTTCCCACCTATAAAACTTTGGGCAATTCACTTAATCTCCCCTGGGTATCAGTTTACTTATTTTTAAAAATAAGGAAGTTAGACAAGATGATTTCTGAGGTCCCTTCCAGTGCTAGATCTATGATGATATTAACAAAAAGTCTCCAAATCTGAAAAAGGCAATAAAACTGGAAGGAAGACTCACTTGAAAGGGTGAAAAGGAAGACCAGTGTGAGCCATTGTTAGGTAGATGTTGACATCAGTGTGACAGTGATCCCAAAGTCCATAGTCTCTTAGGGAGGAGTCATCTTGCAAATAATTTTCATCATACTGGCCCTTAGATTCTCCAGGAATCTCTAGTTCAACTTTTCTAGTCCCTGTAGCCTGTACTTGAGATGCCTTGGACCTCTATAGGGCTATATTTTTTTGTTAGTTAGTATGGTCTCCTTGTTCACACATTCTTCTTCTTGTTGGACCAGTCATATCAGTTCTTAATAGTTTGTTCACACAGACATAGATGAATTTACGGCAAAACATCCTGAACAGTCTCCTTGAGTGCTTGAGACAGCCTCATGCGGCTCATAGGCCCTGGCTTCCTGATCGTGGCTCTCTGCAGCAGCTTCTTCATCTTCAACACAAAGTCAGAGACATCTCTTCCTCTCTTGTTGGGAGGTAGTTTTAGAAACTTCACAGTTATCTTTGGAATTCTCCCCAATACCAAACTGACTATTCAGCATTCACATATATTCAAATGCTATAGCCTTGGACCAATGTGTTATTAATGTATGTACAATGTCATAAATAGATCTACTATGCCATTCTAATAATTCGCCAAGATTATTAGAGACAACATCTATCTTTTTACTTCAGGCCCATGCCACCTTTGAATCACACCTGTAGCATGTAACTAACAACTAGGATTCAAAATTTTCAAAATTCAAAATGTCCTCATTTGATAGAGATGCTCCTCTGAAATGGACCATAGCTTTTTATATTGAATAACAGAGTTGGTGAAGAAGGAGGAGAAGCACAAGAACAAGAACATGAAGAATTTATATAGCACTTTAAGATTTACAAAGTACCTTTCATATTTTGTCACAGTTGACATTCACAACAACCAAGTGCGGTAGATAGTTTAAATGACTTGCCCAGGGTCATATAACTAGTAAGTATCTAAGTTGATGTTTGAACTCTAATCTTCCTGACTCCAACTACTGTACCATTTACCTGTCTAGCTTGCAGTCCCTTCCCTGACTATTTCTACTCCATCCAGTACCACTGAGGATGATGCCATCACTGCACCACGCTGCTGAAGACGTCATCCTAGCTGCTGCTCCAAGCTTGCCAGCTTGCTTTTTTTTTTTCCAGTCCCTACATCTCTTACCAGGAAGGCCTCAAACTTTCTCATTAATTCTTGGTCACTGTCATCATTACAGTGTTTACTAAATAATTCCCAGACAGCTCGCTTTGTGATAATGTTGGAATGCATTGCTATTTCAGGAAATATATTAGACAATACTTATTTTGCCAACAGCATGCTTTCATCGCAGCATGTGTAACAACTTTATCAGCACTATCAGCGCAATCAGGGATATTTCTATGACCAATAGTCTGTAGTCTGAGTCTATTCTTGGGGGGAAGGGAGAGTAATATCTGAGTACCCGAAAAGATACTGAAGCTATAAAATCCAACCCTCCATCACAATGATGCCATAGGATCGTAGATTTATACCGGAAAGGACATAAGGCACCGTCAAGCCCAACTTCCTCGTTTTACAAATGAGCAAATTGTGACATCTTAGAGGGGTTATGTGACTCACTCAACTTCACACAGATACTAAGTGTCTGAGTCAGGATTTCAGCCCAGTCTAGTGCCTTACACCATTTAAGCAACACGTTAGTGAAGCTTACGCTCAGTAATGTAACACTTATAGCCAATCAATTGGCCTGTCCTGTAAAAGTCACATCAGAAAAATGTAGCTATCCAATCAGTCTTTTGAGGAGGGGGTGAGGTGGGAAGTGAAAAATCCTCAGTGTAGCCTTGCAGTATTAGATTATTCCCCCCCAAAAAAACCCAGAAATCCTAGGTAAGCTTATAAAATTGAGCCCACTCCCACTCCCTCAGTCATGACCCCCCAAAAGCTATCTGATTTTGTGCATATTACCTCAGAAGATTTGCTTAGCAAGATTAAGAATCAGGATGAAGCTAGCCAATATTTATTCTGCATTTCTGCCAAATACACAATCACTGCTCTAATTATGCAATAACGTTGACCAAGTCAGTTTCTCTGTGTAGAGCTCAGTGTTCTCCCTTTTGGGGGGGGAGAAGGATAAATTAAATAATATTTGAAACCCATTTCTAGCTGAAACATGTTGTTGCTTCAGAGCCTATCAACTTTTAAATATTAAATTATTTTCCCCCAAGATGGTATTAAGCATGGCATGTGGGAGGTATCTTGGTGGGTCATGATTCTCTATGTCTGATATTACATTTTTGGCACTTCAAGAGCCATTCACTTGTAGGATTACTCTGCAAGTATTTGCTGAACACTCATTGTGCTCCCAGCCCTTCTGAATCTCCTTTTGAGAGATAGAAGGAAAGAAATAATCATTTATTAAGTGCCTATTATGTAACCAGGCACTATTCTAACCACTTTACAAGTATCAACTCATTTTATGTTCACAGTATCCCTAGGAAGTAGGTGCTATTATTATCTCCACTTTACAGTTGAGGAAACTAAGAGAAATAGAAATTAATTGCATTGCTCAGGGTCACACAACCAGTAAATGATGGTCTCTACAGCTGTACTGCTATAAAGCAAACACTCTCTTCTTCTGTGTTGGCAGGAAGTGGACAAACTTATCAGATTCTGACATCTTCTGGAACATATCTGACACAGGCTGGGTCAAAGCTGCCTGGACCTTCTATTCTACTTGTATAACAGGAGCCTGCCTTTTTATCCACCAGCTGCCAAAAACTGACACCAGTGTGATCTTGAATGTAAAGACAGAAACTGCTTTATTTATTGGATTATTGAAATTAGATGGGGAAAAAGGAGAGAAAGTAATCAGACTTACTAAGCTGCAGGAGCCATGGAAAAAGGCATAAGTAAAGACAAACTGATACCTTGATCTCCATAGAGAAGTGGACAGAATACTGTATATCCGTGGAGACAGGAAGACCTGAGTTTGAATTCTATCTCAGATGCTTGCTCATCTATAAGATGGTGACAATAATGTCTATAGTAGCTGCCTCATAGAGTTATTGTGAGGGTCAATATTATGAGATAATATATGTAGATCACTTTACAAACATTAAAAGTCCATGTAAAAGTGAATTATGATGATCCCTAGTCAACACACGTTTTAAGTCCCTTTGTAATAATGGTGATAATCTAGTGCTTCAAGGATTCTTGATTTGATCAGTGTGAGAATAGCCCCCTCACTAATGCAAAGCCACTCCCTTCCACACCTTGAGTAATGGCTAAGTGAGATGCTGATAGTCACCCCAGCACTATAGTGGCATCAGAGTAGGAATTCAGTGAAGGAGTAATCATAATGAGTCACATTATTATAAGGTTTCACTGTTATAAAGCATTTGATACATATTATCTCATTTGGAAATAGAGGATACAAGTATCTCCATTTTTGGAGAGAGGTGAAGGGAATAAGTATTTCTATAAATACCTACCATGTGCCAGGCACTGTGCTAAGCAGTTTTTACAAGTATCTTATGTGATCCTCACAACAATCCTGTGAGGTAGGCACTATTATTATCCTCATTTTGCATTTGCGGAAGCTAAGGCAAACAGAGCTTAAGTGACTTGCTCAGGGTCACAAAGCTAGTAAGTGTCTGAGGTCAAATTTGAATTCAGGTCTTTCTAACTCCTTGCCTAGAACTCTATACACTATATCACCTAACTGCCTCAGATTGTACAGATGAGGAAAATAAGTTATATAAACCACTAAGTATCAAAGAACAGCTAAAAATTCTAGTTTTCATTCTCTGAGACTAGAGGGTTTTATTCCTTTGTGTGAAATTGCCTTTGCAGGCAGGCTTCCTAAAGCAGGGGAGTTTTTAGTCAGGTCTTAGAAAGTAATGAATATGTATTTACAGAGAGGAAAGGGACATAGGTAAGAGCCAAGATGGGGGGTGGGGAAGCTGCAGCCTCAAGGCCACACGTGGCCCTCCAGGTCCTCAAGTGAGGCCCTTTGACTGAATCCAAACTTCACAGAACAAATCCTTATATTAAGGGGATGGAAGAAAGCAGACCATCCACAGGAAGAATGGAATCAAGGTATAAGAATGTATATCTGTTTTCCTTGGTGAACTCTATTTCCTGTCATTCCACAATTCAAAATGAGTAATTCAAGTAAATTCACTTCAACAAGCATTTATCAAGCACCTACTACATACAAAGCAATGTAGGATCAGAGAGTCATACAGAAAATTAGGGTCCTGGGTCTGAAACTTACTGGAAAGTACCTTAAAGACTTTAGTCTTAATGGAAAGTACTTTAGAGATCTAGCCTAACCCAATCGTTTTGAACATAAGAAAAATGAGGCCTAGAGGGTGAAATTGACTTGCCAAGGTTACACAGAAAGCCAGAGACAAATGGAACTAGAGCACAGGCATCATGTATTCCAGACCAGGGTTCTTTCATTAGACCTCCCCACCAAAGGAGTTTCCAGCAAGGAAATATCAGGCTCGATATTTATCTGCAATAATCAGAACCCCAACTGACAACTCTCAATTATCCAGGATTAAAGTATCTAATGTGTGGATTCTCAGGTCCTTTGACTGCTATACCTTCTCCTTCCTGTTCTTATGCTTTCCACCCTCCTTAATACATCTTCAAAAAGGGTGGGAAATAAAAACAAAAGTCAACTACCTTGCTCCTTAATCAGCAACTGAGAGAAGGTTTTGACGGAAGAGTTGGTACCCACACTGGCTGGATATAGAGAAGGGACCCATCCCAATCATCCTTGCCTCTGGCACCCTGATAAAGATAACCTAGCCAACTCTTCCTTTGGACCCAAGGTTTAGTGACCTTTCAATATTTCCTTTCTATTTAGACACTCTGCCAAATGCCAATCACCACCTTCTGTTGTGTTCCAACCATGTTCCAGATGCTTGTACAACATGACTTGACCAGGTAGCTCTTTTCCATTTCCATTACTTGTACACAGCACACGCACACACACAGAATGGACCAGACATCACTCAGGACACCCTGAAGATACGTACCCCAGTTTCCTCAGAGAACTGACCTGCATTGTGTCCATCTTTTAGTGGCTCAGAGCAACTTGAAAGGGTTCCTGTAGACTGAGCCTTTTTAGGATGGTTCCATTGGCTTCGATGGTACTAATGAGGCCAAAGTTGTGGGTTCTGTTATAAGGTTTTGCCCAGAGAAATCTACCTCTCAGCCACAGCCAGTGAGTGCACAAAGCAGCAATGTTAGCCAGTGTGGTGTTATTTGGGGTATATGAAAGATGAGCCACTTCAAACAAATCATTGCTTCCCCTGGTGGCCACATAGAAGGTACTTCCTCTTTGGTTCCTCGAGTTAGCCAACAGGGAAAGGATCCTTTTTGTCTCTTCTGAAATTTCTAACCTCAACTTTTCATGGGGTGCCTCTTCTCTTTCCTTAGATGCCATTTGTAACAAGTGTAACTTCTGTGAATGCTCCACAAATATATAGTAGATTCTGAATTGGCTCTTTGTGTATTACCTCCCATAAGAGTTGCCTGCTCTGAGGGGCAACACCATTGTTGAATCCTTGATAATCCTTTAATAATCCTATTCTTCCAGTAATAATTTGCTCATGCAATACGTAGGAAAAGAGTAATTGAAATGGTTGCTCTGACCCATACCCCCACTAAATAAAAATATACACAAGTGGCCTTCACTTTAGATCCATGCAAAATGTGTGTAAATTGAATCTTAACTTTTAGATTCACTGGTGGAGCATATTATTTAAAGGATCCCTGTGGTAAAGTCTTCACTGAAGCTCATAGAGAAGATCATAGAGATATCATGGAAAGGACCATAGATCAAGAGTTAGGAAGGACTTAGAGAATGTTCAGTGCAATCCCCTCATTTTATAGGGAAGGAAATTGAGGTCCAGCATGTGACTTTCACCAAGTTTCAAATTAAAAAGCAGTAGAAGATGTTCCTGGCCTTGAAACACATTGAACTAGATGGTCTTGGAATACCCTTCCAACTTTGTGATTGTATGATTCCTATTTTTAAAATGTTGTGGTATTGTCGTACTGTTCCATTTTGGGTTTTCTTGGCAAAGATACTGAAGTTGTTTGCCATTTCCTTCTCCAGCCCATTTTACAGATGAGGAACTGAATCAAAGAGGGTTAAGTGACTTGCCCAGGGTCACACAGTTATTAAGTGTCTGAGGCTGGATTTGAACTCAGGTCCTCCTAACTCCAGGGCCATTGCTCCATCCACTGAACCACCTAGCTGCCACACATCTAAAAAGTGGGGTTTTGGTTTTTTTAATATTGTCTGCTGGGATTTTTTTTATTATTCATAAAACTGTTTCTTTTCATCAGCAACAATAGTCTTAACCTCCTCCTTAGGCAGCAAGCTCATAGGTTATAAAGCTGGAGATTCAAGAATCTTTAAAGGTCAGCAGATGGGGACCCAGAGGGGTTACATCTAGTCAAGTTTGGGCAGGATCCCATGCTATCATCATGGATAGCATGCATCCCATACTAAGTCCCTAACTAGAGCCATCTTCTTTTCCTCCTCAACAAAGGTACAAGTTTAAGAGCCTGAGGCACTGTGTAACAGGAGGAGAGACCCTCAATCCTGACGTGAGAAAAAAATGGAAGAGTCAGACAGGTCTGGAGTTGCATGAAGGCTATGGCCAGTCTGAAACTGTAAGTTGCCGCTGAATCCTCGAACCTCAAATGAAGATGGTCCCACTGGCTCCCTCAGATTCTGAATAAACATTTCTGGACCCTAGAATTCTCCCCAGCCCTTCCTATCCTGAGTACTGATGGGTCTGATCAGTTCTGGCCTTACACTATGATCTCTTGAATCCCTAAAATAATTTTTCCATCTCTTCACTGCCCTGAATTTCACCATTCAGATTCCATTCTTTTATCTTCATAATAGCTTACATTTAGATAGCACTAACCCTAAACCTAACCTTCACCCCTTTCCAGCTATCCTATTTCTATCAGTGATGCCACTCTTCACCCAGTCTCCTAGACTAGAAACTTTGCCACCATCTTTATCTCCATTGCTCTCCATTTGCTCTCCATTGTATTATCAAATCTTGTTTCTTCCCTTGAAATATCTTTCATTCACTCTTTCATTTTCCTACCCATTACCATCCACCTAGTCAAGGTCTTCATCACCTCATGCCTGGATTATTGTCCCATTCTTCCTTCTACTAGTGTTATAGTGTCTCTGGTCCCATTGCCCCCATCCCTTACTGCTCCAAAACCATCCTACACACCACTATCAGACTTCCCAATCACTGCTTTCATTATGTCACTCTCCTGCTCAATAAGCAAAAATAGTTCTATATTGCCCCTCCATGTTAAATTTAAACTATTTTATCTTGCTTTCAAGGATCCCCATAACTTAGTCTTATTTTACCAATATAAACTAATCCTTTATTTCCAACATGACACCAGTTTCCCCACTGCAACTTGACTATACCATATTATTCCTAAATCTCTGTTTTCTCATGCTGTTTTCACTTGAAATGCCTTTCCTCCCCCTGTCCACCAGTCCAAATCCTACCCATCCATTGAGGACCAGCTCAAATGTCATTTTCTCCATCAAGTCTTCTCCAACTATTCCAGCCCACACTCACTACTCCCTTTCCTGAACTCCCAGTGACTGGCATGTAGCAGGTACATAACAAATGTTTCTTTCCTTAATGAATGCTACTTGACCAAGCAGTGATTTGTTGACTTACTGCTTGGTAATTTAGCATCATCTCATTCTCCAGTTATTTTATGCTAATGTATCAGCAAGTATTTATTGGCATCAACTCTGTGTCCAAAACTATTCTAGGCACTGTATAAGATGCAAAAGACACATAAGCCCATGCCTTGAAGGTATTGTCAATCTATGTTTTTCTTATATATTTTCCTTTTCCCCTGACAACAGAACTTTGTTGGGACCATAGAATACTGACTAAATATAAAAATACATTTAATTCCTATGCAATATACATGTCACAACCAAATTTTGACCTCCAACTAGTGGGAGAAAACAATTAGAAATCCAGGATTGTACTTCTATCTAGATTTTTTTATTTCCTGAGGTGCCTAAGTAAGTGCTTCTGTGTGGATTAGGATAACTGACACACAAAAATGTGTTTTCTTAGTCTAGATTCCTGGCATGGAAATATATGATTTATGGAAATACAACTCTATTATTATGTGTAAATAGTCCTTATCAAGTATCTCCTTGACAGCAATGTCAATATGTCTGAAATTCTACCATTAGGAATCTATTTGTTGTGGTTAAGCACTACTCTCTCCTATTTTAAAATGCAAATGTCCTTGGAAGAGTAGCTTATTACATTTCTAGCATGTTTCCCTAGCATGAATGAATTTATCAAATAACTTAACTTTCCAGATATGAAAGACCTGGGGCTTCAAAAAGACATTGAACTAGAGGAAGAGTAAAGAGGGTTACTAGAAGAGTAGAGAGGAGCTCAAAAAGTGAGGTGGGATACTTTAAAAAGAGAGGAGACACACTTTGCTCAACAAGATAGACAAAACATATCCAAATATATCAGTGGTACCAACAATCTCCAATAACAACATAATACACCATATGTGGCAAGTGCTTTTACCTGGCATTAATTTCTCTCCAGGTTTTGATCTGTGCCAATCAAAAAGGTATGAAAATCAAGTCAGGTTCCATGGGGAAAGCTTTTCCACCCTATGATGTCCAGGTAAGAAACTTATGTCCCAACTAGATAGGGGTTAGTTTGAGAGAGAATTAGATGTACAGGTCTAAGATTCAGCACAAAAAGCACCCCAGACTTGACAGTCAAAATATCTAGGTTTGAGTACTGATGCTCTCATTTACTAACTCTATGACCATATCATTTACTGTCTCTGAGACTCAATGTAAAATAGAGACAATAAACTACTGAAATCTTAGGTATGTTGAAAACTGGGGAAAGAAGAATCTCACTGTACTCATCTCTGATCAGACCACATCTAAAGTGTTGTTCTGGATGCCATTATAGGAAGGAAATTGATGGACCAGAGATCATTGGGGTAGGTAGGATGGTGAAGGGCCTAATAATCATGGTCATGTGAATACATTGAAGAATATGTTTGATATAGAGAAGAGAAGACTTAGAGGGAGACATCATAGCTGTCTTCAAGTATTTGAAAGGCTGTCACTTGGAAGAAGTATATGACTGTTTGGGCCCAGAGGGCAAAACACAGAATGATATGTGGAAGGTTTGTTGTTAAGGAATTAGAGCTATCCAAATGCAAAATGGAGGTTGCCTAGGAGAGGTACTGGACTACCTGTCACTAGAACTCTTCAAGCAAAAACTGGATGTCCATTTGTTAAGTACCTTGTATGGGGAATTCTTCGTTGGGTTAGTCTAAGATGGCTTCACAGGGCAGCTAGGTGACTTATTTTCCTGAGTTCAAATCTAACCTCAGACACTTACTAGCTGTGTGACCCTGGTCAAGTCACTTAACCCTTTTTGCCTTGGTTTCCTCAAGTGTAAAATGAGCTGGAAAAAGAGATGGCAAACCATTCCAATATCTTTGCCAAGAAAACTCCAAATAGTGTTATGAAGAGTTGGACATGACTGAAACGACTAAACAATAAGATGGCTTTGCAGGTCCCTACGAGACTGTGTTATTATTTCTTCTTACCCCACAGCATTATTGCAGGAGAAACACTTTGTAAACAACCAAACACAATTGAGATATAAGTTGTTGTTGGTGGTGTTGCTGTCGTTAAAAGCAGAGTTTATGTTGAGTGCACCTATGCTGGGTCTGTAGGAGCATTTGATTTTCCCAAGCCCATTAGTTGCCTTTGTGCCTCATTCTTCACCCCAGATTGTAGATGATGAAGGCAACATCCTTCCTCCAGGAAAAGAGGGTAACATTGGCATCAGGATCAAGCCAAAGCAGCCTTTCTGTTTCTTCACAGGCTACTTGGTAAGTAAACTTGTTTTGTAAATAAGTGGCATTAGGAACAATCAAAAAGTTTTATTTATATCTTTTGTTTTTAACTTCATATACACATATCCCTCCCCTCTGTCCTTCCCTAAGAGTTGCCCCTCATAACAAAGGGGAAAAGTGGGAGAGGATAGTTCAACAAAACTAACACATTAGCACATGCATATCTCACACCCATAATTGTCCCTCTCCCCTCCCCCCTGTAAAGTGAAGAAGGTACATTTTTTTCTCTTTTCCTCAGGGCCAAGTTTGATCATTATAATTACAGTGTTCAGTTTCTTTTTTGGTGTTGTTCTTTCCATTTGCATTGTGCTTTCCTCCTCCTGATTACTTCTCTTTGCATCAGTTCATATATAAATCTTCCCATGCTTCTCTGTATTCTCCATATGCATAATTTCTTACTGCACAATAATATTTCATTGTATTCATATGCCATAATATGGCATACTAGTTATTTCCTAATCAATGGGCATGTATTTTGTTTCCAGTTCTTTGTTACTATAAAAAGAAAAGGCACTGCTATAAATATTTTAGTGAATACAGGACCTTTCTTTCTTTTTTTCTTTTGACCTTCTTGGGGTATACACCTAGCAATGTGATCTATGGGTCAAAGGGTATGAAAATTTTAGCCATTTCCAAATTGCTTTCTAGAAGGATTGGACCAATTCACAGCAGTGTGCAAGTTTTCTAACAACCCTTCCAACACTGACTATTCCTATCTTTTACTATTTTTCACCAAGTTTGCTACATTATTTTGATGTCATTTCCCTTACTTCTTTAGATTCCCTTAGATTTTAAGTGATTTTTCATAAGCTTATTCACATGTTGAAAATTTTTTTTAGAACTTCTGCTAATATAGGATTAATTTTTTTTTTAAGAATTATGTGCATGTGCTCAAGCAAACAGTTCCTGGTCAAAGGAGCTGGAATTGCTCTGTTTGACCCCAGACTTCCTTTGGGAGATGTTAGATTTACGGCTTGAAGGGGCCTATCCCTTCCCTATAGGCTTCGCTAATTCACATAGGATCATCTAGTCCAACTCCCTGGTTTTACAAATAAGGAAACTGAGTGCCAGAGAAGGTATGTGACTTGCCCAAAAGTTGCATAAAGTTACACAGTCACACAGATAGGTTCTCTGATTCCAAAGTCAGCTTCTGATTTCCACTGTACCAGACTTCCTCCCTTCAAGAGACAGCCATACATGCTAGAGACAGAAGGCTGAACTAAGTGATCTCTCAAAGTTTGTTCTATTTTATGATGCTCTGGTTTCAGGGGATAACTATTCCCTACTAAGAATTCCTGTTGTAGGACTAGATATTCACACAGCAGCAGTTTCAATTCTGGGTCTTGGTTACCCTTTGTTAATTATTAAAACAAGCAGATCACCAGCATAGGGGAGCAACTGTCCTGCCTGAACTTACTTGAACAGTAACTTGGCCAGCATTAATCAGCCCAGTGCAAAAGTATGCCAACACTTTAGAGTCATGCCAAGGGTGTCCTTTCTTGAATTTTTATTATGTATGATCAGGACAATGCTGAGAAAACAGCCTCTTTCAGACGGGGGGACTTTTACATCACTGGAGACCGTGCCCATATGGATGAAGATGGTTACTTCTGGTTTAAGGGAAGAGCTGATGATGTGATCAATTCTTCAAGGTAAAGATGTTGGTTGGTGCTTTTCTTTTCCTGGGTCTCTGGATTTTAGGTATGATGGTGGGTTGTGGGTCGAACATTGGGACAGTGCATGTTGAAAAGGTCCATTTTTCTCTTCCAGTTACCGAATTGGACCCTTCGAAGTAGAAAGCGCCCTGTCGGAACATCCTGCTGTTGTTGAGTCAGCTGTGGTCAGCAGTCCAGACCCCATCAGGGGAGAGGTAATGTAGCAGGTTCCAGACTGAAGCTCCATCAGGGGCCTGCATATGTCAAGTGATGCACCAAGATGTCTACTTGTCCCCAAATACCTCTCACTTAATCCCAAATCCCTAGTGTCAGTATATTAAATTCCAGCATTAGAGGTTCATTCCTTCGTTTGAAATCTTCCCTTTTGTATCCAATTTTCAATTCCCCCCCCAAAAAAAACTATTCCATGTTTCTTATGATTGTGCAAAAGGTCTTTACTTAATCATCATTCTTTTGTGGCTTCCTTTAGCTTATGATTATGAATTTTCTTTAAAAAACAAAGATATAAAAGATATTTCTCTGCTATTTTGAATAATTTAACCCTTTACCTTAAACTTGCTTATCAATTTGCAGCTTATTTTGGTATATGGTATGTCTATTTAACCTCTTTACCCCTGCTCATTGAAAATGTATAGTGTTAAAGCAAAAACCAAAAAAATTAACATTAAATTCCTGGCACTTTCAGTTCAATTCAACATATATCTATTTAATACTTACTTTTTGCATTGGGCCAAAAATTTAGATAAGACAGTCCCTGCCCCTATTAAGATTATAGTCTAGGAAGGAGATATGAAGCACATGCTATACAAATAGAATGATACATAAGTGAATAAATAAGATACATATAAAGGGCTGTAAGACTGAGTAGAAAAAGTTCATAGTTGACTTAAGGAATCATGGAAAGCTTCATGGAGGAGTTGACATAAATTGAGTTTTGTATAGTGAGTCAACAAGCATTTAATAAAGATTCCCACCTGCCAAGCACTATGCTAAACACTGGGGATACAAAGAATATTAAAAACACAGTCCCTTCTTTCTAAGAGCTCACATTCTAAAAGAATATAAGTGTGGCTTTTCAGGCATGGAGAACAGCAGGGAGTAAAGGGATTGAAGCCTGTAAATAAATGTCAATATAGTTATTCACACTTTATCGTGAATTAGTTCATCATATGAGGAAGGGCTTTGGGAGATGATTGTGAAGAAAGCAAGAACTCTAAAAAAAGAGGAAAGAAATGTATCAACATAAGATTGAGCATTAGGAAGGGAACTCTGTTGTACTTTGGTTGCCCAATAACCCCCAGAAATCTTTATCTTCCCTAAGTGCTGCCACATAATCTCCTCCAGGTAATTATCTTATTTGAAATTAATATAGCCCTGAGGTGTTTTGATTGACTCAGTGCATTTCCCTCCCAGAGGTATGTGCATCTTAACAGGGATATGGCAACTCTAATAGAGGATTCTTAAGCATTAGTTGCCAAAAAAAAAAACCAGTATGGAAACAAGAGGGGCTTCCAATATCCTTTAAGTCTTACTCATAAGCAGCTACTGACTCCATCAATATAGGCTTAAACAGGTAGACTAGAATATTGGTTCCATTCATCAAGCTAAGGGTGGACAGGATGGGATGAATCAAAGGGATGGAATGGACCTTTTTATGTGAGCTGGTGAATATTTGGAAATTTTTTAAAAGGCTGATTTATGGGACAGAAATCAAGGGCTTCATTTTCTTAGTAAAACAGGTGGTGACATTATGGATTTCCCCATACAGGTGGTAAAAGCTTTCGTAGTTTTAAATCAAGACTTTATCAACCAAGACCCAGGGGAACTGACTCGGGAATTGCAAGAACATGTCAAAAGGTTGACAGCACCATACAAGTACCCCAGAAAGGTGAGTTTCTTGGAGAACTAGGATCCACCATCTTCTGGAGGTTGGGACAAAGGAGTGAGTTAGAGGTAAGGCTTACCTACACTCACAGCCAATGAAAAACTGAGAGAATATTTTTAAAGGAAAAGGAAAGAGAAGAAGGGAATGGAGAAGGGGAAGGGAAGGAAAACAGAAAACTCCCTCTCCGACCAAACTGAAGCAAAGCAAACATTGATAATGTGGCTAGAAAAATCATCCAACCTACAATAAGAGAAATGAGGCAAAGCTCTGAGCCAATGGCACTTTATTAAAGGGTCCATGGTCCCCTCTAATGAAGTGGACAATAATTTGTGCTGGTTCTATTTGGCCTCTGAACCTCCCTTGTCAATCCTCAGAAGATGAAAACCTGCTTTCCAAGGTCCATGAGGAGTCTCCTACTCTGGTGAAATCACAAGCTTGTGTTGTTTCTTTTGTTAAACCACTGCCCAATGGTTTGGTGATGATCAATCACTTAGTATTGATTAGCCAGCCATCTCTAGCATAATGACATAGCATAAAAACAAAAGCCACCCAGGTGGGTTGTTTTATTTGTTCTCACAAAGCACTTTCATCATCTCCTCTAAACCTCATAATCACCCTGGGAGATAGGTAGAACAGGGATAATGATCTCTATTTTACAAGTGACAAAATATTAACTGCCATTTATCTAGCAGCTTAACATTGGCAAAAGAGGCATATGTTATTTCATTTGATTTTCGCAACAACTCTGTGAGGTAAATAGTCCTAAAGATGAGGAAACTGAAGCTGAGAGGAGTAACTTCATGGGTTCATAGATTTAGATCTGGAGGGGGTCTTACAAGCCGTTTTGTCTAACCCCCTAATGTTACAGATGAGGAAAGGTTAAGTACCTTGGCAAAAAGAGCTAGAGTTTTAACTGAGGTTCTAAAATTCCAAATCCAGCATTTCCACTTAACTAATTTTGCCATGATCACACACAATCCGAGGTTAGATTTTAACCCAAGTCTTCCTGTATTTGTTATAGTACACTCTTCCTTTTAAACACTGTATCTCTTGTAAAGCTAAGTCCTAGAGAGTCAGAATCAGGTCTAGAAAAATCTCCTGATTCCCAAGCCCCAAGCTCTTTCCACTATATTCTAATGTTTCTTTTTATATCATAATGGTGGGATCAATGGTTTTGAGATTAGCAAGTTAAGAGGGCTAGAAGCTATGTGACCACCTTGTCCAGAATTTAAGCTTATGCTCTTCCAATCTATAAAATGATTGGTACCAGCATTTTTCCATATAAAACATATAGAGTAGAAGTAGAATAGAGTATACAAACTCTACACCAGTGAGTTCAACTCTGGTTTCTGGGGAAATGTTAGAATGAATCATTAAAGAAATGGATGATGAATATCTAGAAAGGAAACCATGACTTTAAGGAGTTTCATCGAGAACAGAATATGCCAGATTAACCTTCTATACAGGGGTGGGAGTGGGGTAAGAGAGAGGAAGGCAACAAGCATTTATTAAGTGCCTACTATGTTCCAGACACTGCATTAAGGGGGTTACAAATATTATCACAATTGATCCTCACAACAACCAATGGAAGTAAGTGCTATTAAGATCTCTGTTTTATAGTTGCCCTAAGCTAATGGGTATCTGAAGCCAGATTTGAATTCAGATCTTCCTGAACCCAGGCCCAGTTGTCTATCTACCCTATCAGAATCCTCAGGAATTCTGTGGGTAGTTTAACAGATCTTAGCATTTAATGAAGTATCTCATACTATTATTGTGAGGTAAATGGAGAAATGTGGACTACATGATAATGAAAGATTTAAAGCTGCAGTGAACAGAGCTGAGACTGGAATCAGGAAGACTTGAAGTATAGAATCCTATTCACATCTTGGTTGCCTCATCACATTATTGAATCTTATGGAGCTTGCAGTCTCCTAAAACTAGATCTCCAAACAAATCTCTGTTTAACTATAACCTATCTTATACTTGTGAGGTTGATTTCTTAAAAATCCAAAGCATAAATCACTTGTGAATTCCATTTTATTGTACTCTGTCCAGTGCTTTATATGGCAGCTAAGTGGTACAGTGGATAGACTGCCTGGCCTGGAGTCAGGAAGACCTGAGTTCAAATCCAGCCTCAGACACTTACTAGCTTGTGTGACCCTGGGCATGTCACTTAACCTTTGTCTGCCTCAGGTTCCACAAATGTAAAATGGGGAAAATAATAGCACCTAAATTCCAGGGTTGTTAAGAGAATCAAACGAGTTAACATATATAAAGGGCATTGCAAACTTTAAAGGGTGGTAGTAGTAGTAGTAGTAGTGGTAGTAGTAGTAGTAGTAGTAGTAACAGCAGCAATGGTAATTATTGTCATTGTTGTCATCCTTTTCTATTCCTTAGTGTTCAGTTGTGAATGTCATAGTTTAAGGAAGACATTTATAAGGCAGAAAGTATCCAGAGGAGGGAAAGCAGGATAGTGAAGGGCTTTGGTTATATAGCATCTGTGAATCTGTTGAATGAACAAGATCAATTTAGCCTGAGGAAGACTAAGGGAATATGATAGCTGTTTTCAAATATTTAAAGAGCTCTCCTGGGGAGAAGGGATCAGACTTGTGCTATTTGGCCCCATAGAGTAGAAACAGTCACTCAATAAACATTTATTAAGTGCCTGTTATGTGCCAGGAGGCATGCTAAGCACTGGGGATACAAAGACAGGCAAAGGACAGTCCCTATTCTCAGGGGGCTCATGATCTAATGGGGGAGACAACATGCAAATAACTAGGTATAAATAAGTTACATATAGCATAAATAAGAAATGATTGACAGAGAGCAGGCATGAGAATGAAAGGGGATCTAGAAAGGCTTCCTGTAAAAGATGGGATTTTAGCTGGGAGTTGAAGGAAGCCAGGGAAGTCAAGAAGCTGAGATGAGAGGGGGAAATATTCCAGGTATGAGTGGTAACCAGTGAAAATAACCCAAATAAGGAGACTGTCTTATCTGGGGGGCAGCAAGGAGGTCAATGTCACGGGATAGAAGAAATAAAGAGGTTGGTGAAGATGGAGTGATAAGGTATAAATAAGGTGAAAGAAGACCTGAGAGGTGGAATGGGAGGCAGGTTATGAAGGGCTTTAGAAGCCAAGGGATATATTTGATCCTGAAGATGATAGGGAGCCATTGGAATCTATTGAGTAGTGAGGATGGGTTGACATGGTCAGACCTATGCTTTAGGAAGACCACTTTGACAGTTGGATGAAGAATGGATTACCAACCAGCAGACTACTATAATAGTCTAGGCATGAGATGATGAGGGCCTACCCAGGGTATTGGCAGTATCAGAGGAGAGAAGAAAATGCACACAAGAGATGTTATAAAGGTAAAATTCATCAGTCTTGGAAACAGATTGGCTATGGGAAGTGAGAGAGAGAATGAGGGGTCCAAGATGACACCTAGGTTGCAAGCTTGGTGACTGGGAGGATCGTAGCATCCTCCATAATAATAGTGAAGTTGGGAAAAAGGGAGGGTTTGAGGAGAAAGACAATAAGTTTGGGACATGTTGAGTTTGAGACAATTTCAGGGATATCCAGTTCAAGATATCTATTAAGAAGTTGAAGATGTAAGACTGGAGGTCAGTAGAGTGGTTAAGGCTAGAAAAGTAGATCTGAGAATCATCAGCACAGAGAATGACCATTGAGTCCATAGGAACTGATGAAATCACCAAGTAAAATAGAATAAAGGAAGAAGAGAAGAAAGCCCAATTCAGAGCCCTGTGGGATACTCAAAGTTAGCCGGCATGATTTAGCAAAGGAAACTGAGATGTAGCCATCTCCTTTAGACAAAAGGACAGGCAGGTGAGAAGAATGTGAAAATTTAGACAGAAGAGAAGTATCAAGAAGAGGATCGTTAACATTATCAAGACCTGCAAGAAAACTAGGAGTGGTTGCTGGTTGCAAATCAGCAAATTTAAGATTGATGCTAGGAAAATTTTTCCTAACAATTTGCACTGTCCCAAACTGGAATGAGCTACCCTCAAGAGGGGGGTTCCCCCCTTTTCATCTATTTACGTATGGGAATATTTTTATTTTTAATTAGATGGAATTTGTCCAAGCACTGCCAAGGACAGTCAGTGGGAAGATTCAAACGAGCAAATTAAGAAAGAAAGAGTGGGGAAATTAAGATGGAGTTGGAGAAGCTTCTTACTGGCCTTCAAGCAGAGTTGTATGACAGCTTAGATACAGGGTAATAGGGATTCCTTTTAGATGTAGGTTGTAGTAGGTATACTTGATTTTCTTTCCAATTCTGTGATCCAGAATCAAATTCTGAAAATACTAAGCTCTTTAACATCCTCCCATCAATATAAGGTGTGGCCAGATGATTTCTTTCTAACTTCCCAGGATCAGAATGATTTAACACAATCAAAAGTATTTAAGTGTGTGTCAGGCATCATGCTAGATGCTGGGTAGACAAGTACAAAGAATGAAAGAATCTCTATTTCATTCAAGTGAACTCACAATATTAAAATGTGTCGGTCACATTGTTCCCCAACACCTTGCTTCCAGTTACCTGCCCCTCCCTCCCAAGCTCAGTTTTGAGTCCATTGAGCACAAGGAAGCTAGAATTTTTCACTTATTTACTTACTAATATTTTTTATTTTTAATCAGGTGGAATTTGTCGAAGCGCTGCCAAAGACAGTCAGTGGGAAGATTCAAAGGAGCAAATTAAGAAAGAAAGAGTGGGGGAATTGAGATGGAGTTGGAGAAGCTTCTTATTGTCCTTTCAGCATTCCTTGCAGATGCTTTGGCTTGATCTTCCCCTCAACTTTAAGAATGTCTGAGTTCTATGGAATGAGAAGCCTGCTTCAAAGTAGTTTGAATAGCCTGGATGTGCATTGTGCTAATGTTCAAAATAGCAGCTCATAACAATAATAGCTCACATTTATGTAGTACTCTAGGTTTTATAAATTGCTTTAGTCACAATAACCCTCTGATGTATGTAGTGCAAAGATGATTATTCCCATTTTACAGAGAAGGAAACAGGCTCTGTGAACTAAAGTCAGAAATATAACTAGAACTCATTAATGAGGCAAACTCAATTGATAAAGGTGGGGAAGTTTGGCTGGGAGGTGGGGACAGGGGTACAATGCATGAGTTGAAAACCAAGATAGCATTCCAAATGTGACAACAGTCACAACAAGAGAGGGGGCAGCACCCCCCAAGAGTCCAAGTTAGCCCAGTTGAGGATAGTGGGGAGGACAGCTGGGCCCCAGTAGAGGAGTGCCAAGACAATGGAAGTGGGAAACTCAAAGTAACTGCATCACATGATGGGAACAGTGTGGAAGACTTTGGGGCATAGTTCACCTGTCACCATAAGAGAAAGTACCGCCATCCTCCCTTAAACTGGAATCTAATAATGCATTGTTTACAAGAGACACACTGAAACAATACCATGATCCAAGACAATTTCAAAGAAACCATGATGAAAAAATGCCATTCACCTCAAGAGACACAATTAATGAATTCTAAATGCAAATTGAAGTATAATTTTCTCATGTTTTTAATTTTTCTTGCTTTTAAAAATAGGGCTAATATAAAAATTTGTCTTGTATGATTTCACGTGTATAATTGATGTCATATTGCTTGTTTTAGTGTGTAAGGGAGGGTGTGGGAGGGAGAGAATTTGGAACTCAAAATTTAAAAAGAAAAGAATGTTTAAAATAAATAAATAAATCACAAAAATTTTGAAAAGAATTATACAGAATCAGAAGGTTTAAAAAAAAAGTCTTCCTAACTCTGTCTTCTTTTTTGATGCTAAGAGTTCTGGAAACAGTTGAATACTCTTGCTGCCTCCAATTCCTCTTCCTCTCACTTTTCAACTTCTTGCACCTGGCTTATGATTCCATTGCTTAACTTAAATTGCTTCCTTTAAGTTTACAATTACCTCTCAGCTGCCACATATAATGACACTTTCTCAGTTCTTAACCATATCGATTTTTCTGCAGCTTTTGACATTCATAGCAAATAGAGCGATGGACTTGACACCATGAAGATCTGAGTTCAAAGCCTGCCTCTGATATTTACAAACTGTCTGACCTCTGGCAAATCAGTTAAATTCTTTAAGCCTCAATCTCCTTATCTCTAAAATGGGGATAATATTTGTACTAACTTCATGGGATTATTATAAGGGTCAAATGAGATGTTTTATAGGGCACCTTGAAAACCATAAAGCACAATATCAGTGCCAGTTATTATTGACCATCCCCTCTATTGACTTTCAGGATCATTCTCTCCTGCTTCTCTGACTAATCCTCTTGATAATCTTCTTTGCTGATTCATCATCCATTTCTTGACAATTAATTGTGGGTGTCTCCAAGGGCTCTGCCTTGAGACTTCTTCTCACTCCAAGCTTTCTTTCTAGGTGATCTAATCAGTGCTCATGGGTTCAATTATTTTTCCTATTCAGATCAATGCTATCCTAACACTTTTTATTTAACCCTTGCCTTTCCCCTGAACTCCAGTCTTTCATTGCCTCATGTTCCTCTGAACATCTCATGGTCTATTGGCATCTCAAATCCAGCACATCCAAGATTGATATGCCCAGTAAAATGTAAAGAACATTGACTCCGGAGACAGAGGACCTGGGTTCAAATCCTGTCCCTCTTACTGCCTATGTGACATTGGGCAATTCACTTAACTTCCTTGACCATAATATTCATCATCTGCAAAGTGAGGTGTTGGACTAGATGACCATTTGGGTCCCTTCCATCTCTATATCTGTGATCCTATGAACTCACCTACTCTCTAAGTCTGCCCCTCCTTCAAACCTCTCTTTCTCTTGAGGATATCCAAGATCTTCACAATCACCTAGCTGCCTAACTTCAGTCATCCTGTGTCTCTCCCATTCTGTCTCCCTAAAGCCCCCTGTCTAACCATTTGCCAAGTCTTGCCAATTATCTCTCTACATCTCTGGAACCCATTGCCATTTACCTACTTTAATGACAACAATCCTAATTTAGGCTAGCTATTGGCTCCCTGTTCACCATCCCTACACCTCCAATGCATCCTATATACAACTGCCAAAAAATATCCTAAAGTATAGGTTTAACCATGACTTTCCCCTTTTTAAAACCTCTAGATTCTGTCTATTGTCAGAGATATAATACAAACTCCTGCACTTTGTATTTTAAAGACTTCCAAATCTGGCTTTTACCTTTTCTTTCCTTATTTCATATCACTCCACTTAACGTGTGCTGGTCCAACTGGATTTCATTCATGTATACTGCATGCTAGTTCTCCTGTGCACTGACAAAGGCCAACTTCTATGTCTGGAATAAACAACTTCCATTTCTGCTTCTTGCAACCTTCATCTTCCATCAAAACTTAGCTTACGTCACACTGTCTAATCTTTCCTAATCTCCCCAGTCATTAGCACTCTCCCTTTTCGCATGTTATTTCATATTTGCTTATTTGTATGCATCACAGATGTCAATGTGGGCAGCAAGTGGTGGTAAGTGCCCCCAACCAAATTAAAATAGAATTGGGAAAAATTTAACAAAATATATAAAATGTAATATAAAATAGATAATGCTAATCTGTGGTTTTCTACATGATAGGGATGTAGATTCATTTCCATTGCCAGCAGGTATTCATTTCTATTTTAGTTTGACAACCCTGTTGTACATGATATATTCCTGCCAGCAGAACGTAAGGTCCTTGCAGGGCCCCAGAGAATGTTTCATTAAGGTCTTGTATCCTCAGCACCTAGCACAGTTCCTTGCACTTAGTATGCATCTAGTAAATGTTTGCTGGATTTAAATGAAACTGAATTTTAGTTTCTCTTCTTCTTCCCCAGATCTCTTTATTCTTCTCCTTTTCTCTTCATCTCATATCTATTCCTTGGACTTCCTATCATCCTCCAAACACTGCTTGACCTGGTTGTCACTTCTGGAGCTAAGGAGGTCAGATTCTGTCTCCATTCCTCATGGAAACAATTCCACTCAGTAAACAGATCCCCTTAATTGGAGAGCGCCTAGAAGAGGTGAGGAGAATAAAGGCCAGGAACATGATTGCTTACTATGCCATATCCTTATTCAACTCCCAAGCAAAGCTCCCTGACCATTTCCAAGCCAACGGACAGCTCATTTGAGAAACCTTTAGGAACAGATCCTTTCCATTCTCCATTGCAAGTACCCACTGCTATCTCAGTCTACATCTTCTGATCTATATGGGGATGCTTTTGGAAATACATTTGCACAACATTTTATATTGGTGTTTCCCCTATCAAGATGAATGAAAAGGCTGGCCACATTTGCCAAGGATAAAGCTGCTCATGGGACATCTTCTTCTCTTGCTCCAGCTTTTACCTTTTGCCTTTTTCCTTGATGGTTCTTCTAGAGATATGTAGGTGGTGCTGGACTGTAGTGAATGACCAGTGAGCTTAATGTCAATTATTGATAACCTTCTTGAACATCTTGTTAAAGAGATGTTTAGTGCTTAGAAATGAAGGCAATAAAAAGGGGGGGGGGAGAGTTACAATCATTACAAATTAGCATGAATTTCTTAAGTATAAATTTTGCCAGAGTAATCTTATTTCCTATTCTGAAAAGATTCAAATATTATTAGTTCAGGAAGCCAATAAAGCAATATTTATTAAGGGCTTACTATGTGTCAGGCATTGTGATAGATGTTGAGGACATAAATACAAGCAAAAAGACAGTCCCTCACCTTGAGGAGCTTGGAGAGGGGGGAAGAAGGTACCTTTACAGGAACATGGTATTGAAATCCATATAGTCAGGCACATAGTCCAGAGAGGAATAAAAGTTGACCAGCCTGGGACCCCTCCATTAATGGTCCACTCATCAGTGGAAATAGGAGGCCAGTTTAGCAGAGGGATATTCCCAGGTGAGAAGTTTGCAGAGACGGTTGGATGTTCCAGGGTTAAGACGTCCCGGGCAGTGAGGGAAAGTTCAAGGATTAGACAGCAATTGTGGGTGTGGTTTTGAAGTCTAAAAAGTCAGGAGTGGAGTTGGGAAAAGAATGGAAAACAGAAATGACTTGGACATATATATGGAGCTTAGTAAAGCCTTTATTCTTGTGTCCAAGAGGGAGAGATATTGGCTCAATAATAGAACTAGGTGAGTTCAGAACTGGTTATTCATCTGGCCCCAGAGAATATTGATTAATATCATTCTGGTAGTGGACTAGCTCAAAACTTCATTTATTTTTTAAAAGAATTTATATAAAGGCTTAAATTGCATTACATTTGTTAATGTATATAGAGAGTATTTTCTGGGATCAATATCCCAGAGCCAGGCTGGCTCCATCTCCTTACTGTTCTAGGGATATCCCATGAGGGTTTGATGTGTCTCTTCACTACTACCCCATATTCTTGGTGTGTTCCCTCCACTATTGGGTACTAGTAACTAGCATCCTAGTCCAATTTAACCATATCAATTAGCTTTTTACTTTGAAGATGTAGTAAGAACAAAAGTATTAACATTTACCTCCCACCTCTCAGGGGTACATCATCCTCCATTCCATCTTGGTCTCTGGAGAGAGTGGACTCAGATTTAGCATAATTTCTAGATAATATTGGTCCCATCTTTGGGGACTGATATGATGATGGAGAAGGTGGAAAAGAGATTACTATTTAACACTGGAAGGAGTGGCCAGTGTCTTGGGGAATGATGAAGGAAAAGGCAGATTTCCATGAGTATAAGAAGATGGAATGGATTCAAGAGGAAAATATCCAA